CGCACGAACGTGTACCTGCACACGCGCGCACGCACGCACGTGTACTTGCACACGCACGCACACACTCGTGCACGCACGCACACATGCACGCACATGTACGCACTCACGCATGCACGCACGTGTACGTGCACACGCACGCACAAACGCACGAACGCACAAACGCACGTGTACGTACACACGTACGCACGTACGCACGCACGCACGTGTACTTGCACACGCACGCACACACTCGTGCACGCACGCACACATGCACGCACATGTACGCACTCACGCATGCACGCACGTGTACGTGCACACGCACGCACAAACGCACAAACGCACAAACGCACGTGTACGTACACACGTACGCACGCACGCACGTATACGTACACACGCACGCACACACGCACGCAAGTTTACATACACACGCACGCACGCATGCATAATAAATCGGTAATAATCGCTATCGGGTGTTGTCGTGTAGACGCTACATAATCGCTAACTCGAGTTAGCTTAACTCGAGTTAAGGTTCGTCGTGTAGACGAGGCTTCAGAGAGTGCCAAAGTTTGGGATTCATATTATTAGAAATTAACACCAAAATGTTACTTTATTATTCATTATGAACATGAAGATAACAAGTAAATACTTTAAGGAACGAACTGCTGAAGTAGTCTTTTTCTATCAGTTCTTAGCAGTTTTTAGTAAAGATAGAAGTAGTTTTCATGTTAGTGGTCAAAAAAACGAGATCCTAGGAAATGGTAAGCGAATTGTTTTGGTGTAATTGCAGCCTTCAAACTAGTATTTCTACTGATTATAATATGTTTACCTATGCAAACTAACCCGCATTCTGGGAGACCTGATGAAATTCTGGGGCCAACATTTTCATTCGCATTTGGCGAAGTGATAATTTTTTATCACTGAAATATGGGGTGACGTGTGCCTGCCTGATTTGTTACAGCATGAAAGATTATTACTTGGCTCATTTGATAGGTGCATCACATACTGGTGACTTTTTAACAATATTGTGTTTTCTACAACTGCTTGTTTTTTAAATCGCAATCAGATAGAAGTGTCTGGAAATCAAACTAATACAGTGCAATATATTCCTTGCAAATATATCCTCTGCATGATCACGGCAAGACAAATGGGTCCAAGGGCAGAAGTTGGGATAATGGCATATACTGTATACGCCATATTTTTCGCGTACAAATATTTTCGCGAATTCAGACTTGACGGACAATTACGCGAGTGGTTAATTTCGCGGTCGGTGAATTATGAATTATTCGGTATGAATTATACGCGTGTTGTTATTTTCGCGGTCGGGTACGTGTTCGCGAAATTCACGAAAATTAAACCACCGCGAAATATACAGCGTATACAGTAGTTAATCATTTTCAAATAACGACAAACAACGCATCTATCAGTGCATTTATAGCTATTTCTATAGAAATGATCCAGGTCTCCACTTCATAGGTTTAGAGGGCGGGATGTAGATGGCAGCACGGATGTTTACCTGCATGGCGGCGTGTGCTTCGTCTCTCCTGCGCATACCCAGCACACTACTGTTCCACTGTAGAAATAACTGCTTCTTTTCCACGTTGATCGTTTCTATCTCCATCTGCGCTTCGCTGAGGGCCTGCAACATACACATAAACATACATCATATACAAAGTTATGGGCTGGGTGCAGGGCGTGTGCGTGCGTGTGTGTGTGGGGCATGTGCGTGCGTGAGTGCGTGTGTGCGTGCACGTGTGTGGGGAGGGGTGACTGCATGTGCGCGTGTGTGTGTGTGTGGGGAGGGGTGACTGCATGTGTGCGTGTGTGTGTGTGTGTGGGGAGGGGTGACTGCATGTGTGCATCCGTGTGTGTGTGTGGGGAGGGGTGACTGCATGTGTGTGTGTGTGTGTGTGTGTGGGGAGGGGTGACTGCATGTGTGTGTGTGTGCGCGTGTGTGTGTGTGTGCGT